GGCTGTCTTCCTATCAACCTGCCCTAAGGTTACTACCGAAAAATTCATATAATTTAATTAGCGATATCCTCCGAGCCAAGCCCTCCAGGTAACCGAAAAATCGTTAACTCTTCAGTTAGGTAATGAGTTTGGTATCGTTTGAAGAGAATACTTTCAAAGACCATCCATCTGCTCTGTAAGTGCCTGCAAATGACGTCACCACGCGAAACCTTTCGTATACCTTCCTGTTTAAAGAAATTCAAGCATGGGTTTGTCAATAAAAACGCTAATATATTGTTTAATTGAGAATAATACATGGACGCGCGTACATATGAAATTCTTCCTGTTGTGCTCAACCCGATAGCTCACGAGTAAGCGCAACGAACGAGTGAGTTATCGAGTTGAACACGAGATGAGAAACTTCATATCTACGAGCAACCATCTAAAGTTTTTTTCTTATTATTTAAACACAATATTCCTTTCAGGCAAACACACACACATATGTATATATATATATATACATCAGTTGAAACAACAAAGAGGACGCATCGATTCTCTGTTACTCTGAGTTTCGCGCCGAAGCGCTCGTCAGACAGAATTTGCAAGGAACATTCCATGGTATAACCCGCCGTATAACAGAAACGTTGAAAGAAATGTTGGAAAATAATTTCTTTCTCTGATCGACCAGCACTTCCCCAAATCTAATCCATTACATAAAATTTTCAATCGGAACACTGATAAATTAAGCTACAGCTGCATGAATAACGTTAAATCAATTATCTCCAGCCACAATAAAGCCGAAATAAGAAAATCCACAGTCGCTGAAGGAAATAACAAAAACTGTAACTGCCGTAAACCGGACACGTGCCCCATGGATGGTAACTGCAGCGTGGAGAACGTAATATACCAAGCCGAAGTAATCACGCAAACAACAAGGGAAACGTATATCGGACTTTGTGATACTCCATTTAAATTAAGATATCGAAACCACATTTGCTCATTCCGTAATGAACGTTATAGAAGCGCAACTGAGCTTAGTAAGCATATTTGGAACCTGAAAGACCGAAACATTGAGTACAACATTAAATGGCGCAAAGTAAACGGGCAAGACCTTACTCAAACGTCACCAAGAATTGTAGTTTGTGTTTGTGGGAGAAGTATTTTATTTTGTGTAAGCCCGAAATGCCAACCTTAAACAACCGAAATGAATTAGCATCGTCCTGTAGACACTCTAGGAAATTTCTGCTAAAAATGTCATCACATTATTAGCACGCGCCGCACGTAGCGCGCGCCACACGTAGCGCGCGCCACACGTTTTTTCAAAACTTGAATGTAACCATTTTTTAAAAATAACTTTGAATGTAACCGTTTTTCAGGCAGTTGCCTGATGATTGCTCCTGATGGAGCATGAAACTCTGAGTAGCAATTAAATGTCTTGGACCAAATAACCCAATTCGTTGCTGATACTATCACCTACTGCTCTAGTCCAACTATTGGGCACTTTGATAGTTGTTACAGAGCATTCCAGCGTAATAATTGGTTATATATATATATATATATATATATATATACATTTCATTTTTTTCTTGAAACCTGAAATTTTTTTATGGTAGCATAATTTGGCATGTGCCATCCACATCGAAATTTTTACAGTAATCAGAAACAGCATAAAAATCTTACGCAAACAAGTATAATAATCATAGTCTTGGCTAGTGCAGACGCAATACCCATCGATGCAGGCAGCTTTCATGTTGCTATATTGGCCAGAACAATAATAGCCATTGGCCCACTTGTAACATTTCTGGCGATGCGCATTGGTCGCGGATGAGGTGGACGGTGTGGTAGTGGTGGTGGTGGAGGTGATGGTGGAGGTGGTGGTGGTGGTGGTCGTGGTGGTGGTGGTAGGTGTGGTACTACTGATGACGGTGGTGGCAGGGGACGTGCTGTTGATGATGCTTGACCCTGACCCTGTTTAAGAGGGAGACAAACGCAAATAATTTATGTCGTGACCCTCTGTATCGGGTCTTTTGAGAATAAGCTACTGGTATTCAACAGCTCCTTCTAACCGTTGAGGTACTACCTAAAGAGCCGAGGCAGAAGTGGAAGATGCAAAATGTTCTTTTTTGTTTCGCTAAATATATATTTTTCTCTAACGACCCATCACTGTCTGCTAATGTAGGAGAAGAAGGACCTCATTAATTTGCACAATATACAGGTTTCCGAGACCATATATATTTTAATCAAAATCCTCCTAGAATAATGCTTTAACGTGTTTTTAATAACCTCCGCCTGTTTAGCTGTGCCATGTTATCCGTAAGTGAAAGGTAACAGATTTATGTCAAAACCACACGCAACACCAGGTATTTTAGATTGAAAGGTGAAGTCATGCAGTATGATTAACGATCTTTTTTCGGTCTGAGCCTGACTGTCAGCTGTTCGGTGGTTACTTTAAGCACTTAGTATTGTATGGTACACCTTTTCGATGCCATTGTTTTGAAAGGGGCTTGCACTATAAAAGGACTATGAGGCGCTACCCCGGTCACTGTTGTGGTTTGGCCTGTACGTTTCACTTGTATCCATCGGTTGTCTCATATGGACGGTCAGCTGCTATCATGAGCTGTTTTCCTGTCACTCCGCTTTGAATTTATTAATCGTTAGCCATATTTGGAGCTTTCAAGAGAAATTCGCTGAGGAATTTATCTTATTTTTATATTATCATGAGTGTCAGTCATTTTGTGGAAACGGAAATTTGAAACCCTCAATTATTTTATTAGCTTTAAGCCAATAAAATAATCAGCAATGTCCTCCGCGCCAAGCCTGCCAGAATACTGATGATCGGTACTAATGAGTTAAGTAATGAGTTAGGTACCGTTTGAGGAAAATACATTCAAAGACCATTGATCTGCTGCGGAAGTACCCGTAAACGACGTCACCACACCGAACCTTTCGTATAACTTCCTGTTAAAAGAAATTCACACATGGGCTAATCAATAAAATCAATCAGATTAACTGTTAATAGGTCAGTAGATCTATAGACACGATGTTTCAATCTTTCCCTTCATTAAGGCGTGATGAACTTCAGTCCTTGGGGCAGTTGTCCGAGAGTATTTGGTTCGGTACCAGTAGAAAAGCTTGCGGCTTTCAGAACAACTTCCCCCTTAAAATGGAAGACATACTATTGATAAGAACAAACTCGTGTTACAGTATTGGGGACTTTCATACTGGTAGGTCTGGGGTTTACTTTAGCTGCTCGTAAGGACAGCTTAACAAACACGGTTGCGAAGGTGAACTTCGTAGGTATGCCGATAACATCATGATTTAAGCAACCGGCCCCAATTTTGACATTGTGGCCGAGTCTCTTAATTTTATTTTGAGTAAACTCCCTGATTGGTGCCGAAACAATTTTTATTATATAGAAACTGATGAAATACCAGGGTTTTTCCTTTTACCAAAAAATCATATCTTCATTGCGCGCAATGAAGATACTATTTTTATATTTCACGTGTGGGGATATTGGTTTCGCCATGGCTTTATTGTCTTTATTTCTTCTTTATAACTTTATACCTGAGTTTCATAATATTTTTGTGACAGGCATTTTGCGATAGGTGACCACTTTTATTGCACTATTTTGCTGTTTCGAAAATGAATGATAAAAAGTTGTCTTTTTACGTGGAAATTTCATCAGTATCTATAAAATAAACAGAGCGTTACATGGCGGCTTGGGCGGATACGTATCCCCGTGCGGCAGTGTAATAGCCTCTATTTAACACCACACTCGGGCAAGACAGAGTTTATGCTAATATAACGCCGCATCTTTATTGGCCCTCTACAGGGTTTAAACTTTGGCTTCACTTTTTTCAATCAAGTTGCCCCCACCAGCTGTTGTGATCTCAAAACGGTCCAAACATGTTTCAGAGTCGACTAACGCTCGGTAGGACTTCTGCTACAAAGTAATATTGCCGTCGATAACTTATGGACTAATACTCTGGGATTCTTGCAACAAAACGTTGTTTGATGAACTCAAACGATTAAAATTAAGAGCTGCTAGAATCATTTTCCGACTAAATTGGTGTAAGCCAACTGAAGCCGTTTTGAATGCCACGAAATGGAAGCCTTTACGACCGTGACTCATTTTACTTTCAGCGACTACTTATTTTTACTTACAAATGCCATTATGAGTGCATGGCTGACCTTCGTAAGACCTATTGATAAAACGCGAGACTAAGTAATATTTAAGAAAGGAACTCTGTTTTTACAAACTAAAATCTAAGTCAGATTATATTTAGAGTTCAGTTCAATAAAAGAGCGTGACCGTACTGTGGAATAGGCTTCCCAATGAAGTTCAGTTCAATAAAAAAGCGTGACTGTGGAACAGGCTTTTCAATGAAGTTCAGTCTAATAAAAGAGAGTGACTGTTCTGTGGAACAGGCTTGCAAATAAAAGGGGAGTTACCATCTCGTTGGCCAGTTTTGAACGATTGATTAAGAAATTTCACCCTGAATTTTACACCTTTCAATTATCAATGTTTAATTAAGAGTGTTCTATAGTCTTGTTTTAACCTTGTATTTGTAATTTGTAACTTTCTTTTGCTTCCAGGACTTGACTTAGACACGGCCACATCAGCTACGCTGTTATCATATCGTGTATTAATAAATGCTTTATTTTACGGCGACCATGTAAAAACAAAGAAATGCGCAAAGTGAGTGCCGTATCCCCATAAGATCAAGTGGTTTTGCAGCTCTGCATATTATACTTATAATTTTCGAACTCTCATTGCGAAAGGGGAGTAAATCAGATTTTATCGTTTGCCCTGAAACAGCTGTCTGCAGCCGTACAAATGTCCCTACGTGCCACTAAACTAGAACCCAGACCTCCCGGTATGAAAGTCAGCGTTTTATTTTATTTTTGTTTTTGCTTTTAGGGGAGGAGGGAGTAGGGAGGGAGGAATACTTAAAACATTCCATGCATTTTTTTTTCTGTTTTCTTACTTGAGAAGCCCTACAGTATCTCCACCCCCTGAATCACTCCCATATCCTCTTGGCCACGATCCGAGGTAACTCTTTCGTTCAATCGCCTGTACTTGGTCCACTTCTCCACTGACTTAGCTTTCATGCACGTAGAAGGCAACCTACAAACACAGAAATAAAGAGTTAGATTTTTTTCCCTTGATTCATTGTTTACAGTTTGCATTTTTATTTTCAACTTAGCTCTTGGAGTGTTCCCAAAGTACCATTAATTTGTGTTTGCCTGACGAAATGAATATTGGCAAAGAGTATCCAAAGAATAATACAGTTTTGCAGGCATTTCACATATATTTTTTAAATAAGGTGCTGATTCAATGCTTAAGTCTGGGAGGATAAGATTTAAAATGAAACTGACAGGATTGATGAGCTGAAGTGTAAGAAAGCATCCTTTAATTTATGCATCGTGCACTAGTCTATGTTGTGTACTTGACTTACCAATATCACGCTACTTATTGTGATGTCAGCTGGTAACTTGAGAATCCAATTAACAGGTTCGTAGCTTGCAAGTACAAGTACAAGAGGTCTGTCTGACCTTCCACCACTGAAAATGTTAACAGTAGCGTCACCAGCGGCCGGGGGACGTCTGTTGATGACCTCGTAAACAGACAATACGTGCACTTCATACTGACTGGAGCTGCTGCTGCCAGGCGTGCAGCTTTAGGTAGGCTTCTGTAGATGGTTGTTATATCGAGGTCTACCAAGAGCTGTAACAGCATCCTCTGATATTTTGCATCCATTTGCATTAGCTGAGGACGTTATCATCAATACAAAAACAGCTGACATAATTACCTCTTTGACATAACTAGACTAGTTAATAGATCTATGTACACGCTCCGTTTATTTAAAATTTATTTTACCAACTGGTTGCTCCGTTTTAAGCCTTTATTTTTGCGGCACGGTTAAAGTGAAAGAACTCCAGATATTCTTGACTAGGATTCCACAAACTGCTCACCGAGAAGGAAAATTTATGCTTCGAGAACATTGTTGCATCAAACTAACTGAATTTTCCTTTGTCCTTTCCTTGACACCTCTTCGGTAATTATTTCAGTAAAGTCCAGGGTTGAGGAAGCCACTTATAGAGTAAACTTTATTGGTCAAAGACACTTCACAGCGACCCAAGTCAGTAACGCAAGACGACTACCAGACTTCCGTACTTTACCGATATTCAGCTCTGCTGTGATATTGGCTTTTTATCGTCTAATTACGTATACCTTTAAAAATCCATTAAAAGTGGTAGCATATTGTATACGCAACGCACATTTTCTTGGAATGGATCGGAATAATTCTTAATTTGTCCAAGAATGGTTTTGTTTGTTCGTTTCTGCTTTAGTTCGCTCTGTTTTTGGTCTCAAAGACTCGTGCCACTCTTGGAAATGACATGAAAAATGAAAACAATCACTACTGGGTAATACACCTTTTTCAAGCTTTTCAAAGCTTAAAACATTTGATTTTTTCTTACCCCAGATCTCACTTTCCCCTATAGTAAATCTTTCGCTTTGATCTGACTTTCTCAGGTTCAACACGCAATTGAAATTAAGTGCTCCATCGTCATATTTACATAATCAATCACTTGCTTTGGCACAGAAAGAATTCAAAGTTACATGTTGACTCCAGGGAGGAGAGAAAAAATGTGAGCTTGCTTCTAGTAAATAAGAATCTGTTTATCTGATAAAGTCTAGCCGTCATGAAAGGCTGCTTTTTTAATGTGGACGTACGCGGAAGAGTCATGTTTGAAAAATGTGCAAAGTCATATAACAGGAAAAACATAAAATGCTCGATATTGACGTCAAGATATTTGAATCATTATAACGTCACAATAATTTTATTTGGCCGCAGGGAGCAGAGAAGTTAGATTTCACTGTTTTTCCAGTTACATTAATCACAAAAATTTTCTGCAATCGATCTTGTTTATCACTTTGCCTTCCTGTGGAAGGTACCAGGTTTTAAATTCAGTCACGGTCATTGCTTACTTTCCAAGAAAGCACTTCGGCGTTTCTGCACAGACGCTGGTGATCAATCAGCGTATGACCTTTAACTACCCCTACGGCTTATGTTTCATATCCGATCGCAAACAATCGAAACAATTCTCAATAGTGTTTGGTTTGTGTCTTAACTAATTTTGTTTGTTCAGCGATGCTTAGAATAAACTCCAAAACGATAAAAATTTGCGTCTTGAAGGTAAGGAGCAACTGAAAGAACTAAAGTAAATCCCGAGGTGTTTTCGGCCACACTTCGTGAGATCCAAAAAGTCACGGATGGAATCACTTACTTACTTGCTTACTTACATGAACATACCTGTTACTGCGTTACTCTATCAAGTAATACCCTAATTCATAGAGGGAAGCCCAAGTGATGGCTACTTTGCACTCTGGTTGCGCAATGAAAACATGCAGTTGTGTTACTCCTATTCACAGACGTATTCAGTACTTACTGACGACTTAGCGCGACTCGAACTGAAATGTTTTGTTTATCAACTATTGCGATAAGGGCTTCAGCACTCGCGAGAGCACGCACCAACGGTCAGTTGATAGGATTGAGCTGCGCTGCAACTGTTAGGTCGATTTAACTGGAAATACCGTAAAACGATACCCCTCTTCTCCCTGAGATTTGACTTCAGATAGTCAATTCCTTGTAATAATCGTTCGGGGGTTAGCGAAGGCGGAAGAGATGAGAATTAGCCCGAATGGAACAAGGATGAGAAATTGACTTGGATGGCAGATAATAACAAAGTAATTCAAGATGACTTACGCAAACAAGTGTGGTAATCGTAGTCTTTGTTAGTACAAATGCAATACCCATCTACACATTTGGAATCC